TATAAATTTTTATTTATATAAAAAACTTTGATAAAAAATTAAATTTACTAAATTTGCAAAATCTGACGCGTCACTTATTTTTAAATGTAATCTTGATATAAGACTTATTCTCCCTCAGAAGTCGAGCAAATACAGACGAGAACAAGATTTAATATTGAGATGTTTCTTTACTTCTTTGTAGAGGTAAATTCACTTTTATGCGAAATATATGTATATAATATATCTTTTCAAGTTTTCTGAATTTTTTTCATTATGTTTTCTGTAATTAATTTTTGTCAAATTATCCCTTAGCAAAAATATAAGTCATGATGGCACTTTTTTACAATTTTGTAATACTCATCATATTTATATACCTTTTTATTTATAATTGTATAGGTATTACAAATTATTATATCATAAAATAAAACTGTCTTAATCTAAATCGCATTTAAACTTAATCAAATTCTTATTCGCGCTTTTATTCCTTAAATAATCATTCAATTAATTAATTTTAAACAAACATACGTACTCTAAACATATATTAATTTAAAGTACATTGGACCCGCAAATATTAATTAAAGAAATTTCGGAACGGATATCAATTAGGTTAAATAAGGCAGAAAAGGTCTCATTATCAATTTGCACTTTTACAACCTTTTAAAAAATTAAAGATCTTATTAGTTTTACTAACAAGCTAAAATCGCCCTCCTATTGCTCAAAGAATTCGTGGCTGAAATACCAGCCGGTGATTTTAAGGCACGCTGTGAAGACGATTGCTCCTTTTTCTAGACCGCAAGAACGTCGTCGATTAGAGCTGAAGAAGAGACAGCAGCACGATGTCGAGATGCCTAGCGAATTTCAGATCCAGGTGGAATTTCGCGATCCGTTTTTCTAGAAAAAAAAACCGGGAATTCTCCTCTTCCAATCTACGGAGCTTCCGTGGCTAATTCGATCCCATTTCGCGCGATAGCTTAAGCGTGAACGGCGATTCCCCGTGGACGAGTTGAGAAACGTAATCGATGTGCGGCGTCGTCTCTTCCTCTCTCAACGAGAGATCACTGATGGAAAGTGGACCTCCCGCGAGAGGCTCAATAGTGAACCTTTGGTCGAGAAACGAGGAGGAAAAGTAAACGCGCAGGAAACACAAGGAGAAACTGGGCTATCGTCAGATTAAATTCGATCGCCGCGCCGTGGCTTTGACGCAGGTCAAAGTCAGATTTTCCGCTCTGCGGATATTGTCCAGATTACGATCTACAACCGGACATCTTAAAGCGTAATGTAACTAAAAATTTATTGAAAAACTCTCTTTTTCGTATGTATAATCGAAAACGTTATTAAGTCTTAACAAAAAAGATATTCGCCAAATAGCTTCTGTAACTTTATAAACACGAGAGTGCACAACTGTTTGTACTTCGCTGAATATCTTGAAATATACCTATTTTTATTAACTCTCCAGCACCACTTTGTTCCTTTCAAGGCATCACGTTTTTTCAAAATTCTTATTTAGATTTCAATATGTAAACAATAAATGAAATACAGTCTAGTTTTTAAAAACTTATTGTTAAAAATTACACAAGTGTACAAGAATTTTTTCAAGTTTTTGTGTAGTCCAGAACCATAAAAAAATATATATCGTTACCTTCAACGGTCCAGAGTGTAAATTTTTTTTTATTTTTATCATTTGATACAGTTTCATATTCAAACTTTGAAATTTTTCTTCAATATTCTCCACCTCCTTAATTATATCAAATTTTTTACGAAGTTTATATAGTCAGGTTACGTTTACTTGAGCTTTCTCTGTATTACGAGTTAATGACCGAAAATTTCGGGATAATGCAGGAGAATTAATATTTGCATATAAAAATCGGCTGTAAGATTGATTGTTTCTTTACAAGACAATGCAATAATTATGATGTTGTGTTTATTTTGCTATTATAAATAAATACATTATGTTCTCTAGAGGAATGTGCAGAATCAATGAATTACGGATGGTAGATAATCTACTGTATTCACGCTTTTGATAACATTTCGTCGACTTTTTTCACGTTTGAGCGCTCAAAGCGAAAAGCGCGGCTTAATCTTCAACAAGCGAGCGAGCGTGAGATCTCAAACAGGTGAGGAGAGCAAACGGA